TAAATTTTTAGTTGTTTTTGGACTTGAATTTGTTCAAAAAATATATTTTTTGAAGAGTTGTGATGCACCCAAACGCTTGGTGCACAAGGCACTAGCCTTATTTGTCTAATGGGTAATCCAGCCTTACTTTTGACCTTTCGAAAAACATTTTTAAATTCTAAATGATCAAATAAATATTTCTTAAACTAATTGTTATTTATTTTACATTCATAGTTTTCAATAAATAATTTGTAAAGTAGAAATATATTATACGGTTATTGTAAATACGTACGATTGGGGCTCGGTGTTAAAACAAAATAATATCTTCTACTTGCCCCGTCAATGTTTTTGTTTATATACTTTTAAATTGTTAATGTTATTAAAAGGCGAAATAAACAAACAAACAAACAAAAACAAAAAAATGAAACATTCAAAATAGTAACTAAGAAATCGCGGATATTTTTTTTTTTCTTTTTTTTTTTTTTTTGTAGTTGGACTACCCCTTCAAGAATAATGACCTTGATCCGCCAATGATTAACTATTTCTCTTCCATTGCATGGAATTTTAACTATTTCTCTTCCATTGCATTGCATTCCATTGCATAAATGCTTTATTTTTCAAAACCACTATAACACCAAAAAATGTTTTAAAGTTTTATTTCTAGTTTTTATATTTTGAATATTTAGGCAACTCTACAGTTTTTATTGATTAAAGACTTTCTGATATAGTGACAATATTTGATATAGTGACAATATTTGATATAGTGACAATTTTTTTTTTAAATAAACCAAATCAAAGTCAGTGTAAAAAATTGGGTCTTAAGTTTTGTGATTGACAGACGACTTAGGTAGCTACATAGTTTAAAATACGATGGAACTTTTAACACATGGTTTAGCGTTCTTTTAAAGATATGAACACCAACCTGTAATATCGTATTCTGTTAAAGGGCGTATGTGAACTATGTGCGGTTTTTTCTATTGAAAAAATAGGCATTATTATAAACCCCAGAATGCAGCGGCTGCAATTTACTTACGCTTATTTAAGTTAAGTAAGTTTAAAGAAGATATTTAATAAAGTTTAAATCAGTTTGTATCAGTGCTATTTTTAACGAAAGTGCGACTAAACCGCCCTTTAAGTAATAGGGTGGCCTCGTCGTAATTATGAAAATATAAATTATGAAAAGACAAAAATCTAAAACTTTATTCGACCTAGGGCCCCCGAAGGTGTAAATCCACCATTGATTTGTATCCCGAAGTCACAAAGATTATTCTATTAGTTCTACAGATTTTTTCGATTGATTTTTGATTTGATCATAGAACAGTTTGATATGGTTTGTCTTGCAAAAACAAAGTTTGACGTTATCGATTAAAACACTAATTAAAAATATATATCTATATTGATCCAAGACACAATTAAACGGGTCAGAAACACCATAAGTCAATTTTGGACAAAAGTGAATCAAGCACGCAATTGTGTTATCTAAGGGTACATAAAAGTTCATTTGAAATCAATAAAAGTCAGAACTTTTCAGCTTGCGGATGCTGAAAGGTCTGACATCATTTTATTTCTCAAGGGAACTTGTATTTTTCCTCAGATAACACGATTCTGTCCTAGACTCATTTTCTCCAAAAATGGTGTTTCAGAAATGATCTGTTCAGTTAGCCCTACAATTTAGTGTTGTTTATTTAAAACAAAATCAAATGAACAAACTTTTTATTAAGATATTAACTGTCCTCAAAGCGTTCGAAATCGAAACTGCAATTTAGGCCTCTTTAACCTCTTTATAGAACATTTTTACAATGCCTTTAAACACTAGCTAAAATTTATTCCATATATAAATTAAATTAAATAAAACCCATAAAAATGGAAGTTTATATTGTCTCCCATTTTTGAGTCTTTTTATGCTTTCTCTAATGCAGTTTTTAGACATGTATTAAGATGCTTTTTTATTTCAATAAATAGAACTCTGATAGTCATATCCATAAAATATCCATTTTAGCAAATATTTATAGTGGATAGACTCATAATAATTACTATAAAACCGCTTCATTAAACCGACATTAACCTTCATTAAAATTATTAATTAAAAACTATTGAAATTGTAAACCGGTTGCAAACACAAAATAAACATATAATTATGCCACATTTTATAACATAATTAAGTGGACCGCAATTGTGTTCCTCTTGTTGAACACATAATCCATACTGGTTATCAGTTTTCATCACATTCATCCTATATAACTTTCTTGTCAGGTAAGCAATTACCATGCAAATAGCAAATCTTACCTAGCGCTGTCTTTTTTAAAATAAGCCAACGGTAGACTTTTTTTATAATAAGTCAACAGTGTGGCCTTTATTCCACACTGTTGCCATATATTTTTTTCAGCACAATTGAAAATGTCAACAATTTCTATTTTCCAATGCGTTTATCCGGTTCAGAGTGACTTCTTTTTGTCTCGTCGGTTTTTTAAAGTTATAATTATTTATATTAAAGACAAACCAGAGAAACTCCGTTCTATAAGAATAAATGAAAAATTAAAAAATAATGCGAACCGATTTTACAAAACGTAATTTGTTTATTGATAATACTGAAATAAAAAGAGCAAGAGTTACCAATTTCTTGGGTGTTAACATTAATGAAAATCTCACTTGGAAAAATCATGTTAACATTCTAAACAATAAAATTGCTAGAAGTATAGGAATAAAAGTATACTTAATTAAATTACTCATTTATTCATTGTCATATTAATTATGCTAATACTGCATGGGGTAGTGCAAATAAAAGTATAATGGAACCTCTTTATCGCGCAACAAATATTGCACGTCTTATAAGCTTTAAAGATCATTTTACTCATGCCAGGCTTCTTTTACTTAAAATGAATATTCTTTATGCATTTCAGCTTAATATTTATAATGTTCTTTGGCTTATGTTTAAATGTAAAACTAACACTTCCCCTTATCCTTTTTATAATTTTACACACAAAATAAAAACAAATAAATACTCTCTTCAAAATGAAAATTTTATCCAACAACCTTTTTTGCATACAAATTTTGGTAGATCTTGTATCTCTTATCGAGGTGCTTTTTTATGGAACAAAATAGTTTTGAAATATTTTGATTTTTCTCAAGAGATGAATTACGACACATTCAAAAGCAATTTTAAACAGATAGTTTTATCTTTCGATAACAAACCCTTATATTTTTAATTTTTATAAAGTAAAAGCCTTTAAATTCACTTCATGATATTTACATGAATGTTACTTATCTTTTAAGTTCTTATTTTTACTTTCGACGAAAATATATATATTTAACACAATAAACGCAACGGTTTAGTTGAAAAACAATGCGGTTCTCGACGACAAGACCTTAAGGTCTTCCACGAGATTCCGCGTTCTTTTTCTGACAAACTTAATTAATCTTGTAAACAGTTAATTATATTATCGAAATTATTATAATTGTAAAAAGGTTAATATTGTAAATATATAAAGAAAGGACAAAAAAAAAAAAAAAAGGAAAAAAAAAAAAAAAAAAAATTTTAATCGATATCCGTTTGATTTGCAATGTAGCGTAATTATTAATTTGTACAAACTTATTATAACATTGTACCGCTTGTTCTTATTATTTATAAAAACTAAACTGTAGATTTAACATTTATAGACTAATAATAAAATGCAAAATAAGAGTTAAATTTTATTTAATTTAATAACAGAAGTTTCAAAATATTTTTTTATCAAATTTCATTTTTGCCAACAACCGAAATTTTCGCTGCATCGGCAAGTGACAAATCGTTCCTACGCTCAAAATTTCCATTTTATAATAATAATAATAATAATAATAATAATAATAATAATAATAATAATAATAATAGTAATAATATAGTAAGTTAGATAGATATAAATATATATATATTTATTATATATATATATATATATATATATATATATATATATATATATATATATATATATATATATATATATATATATATATATATATATATATATATATATATATATATATATATATATATATATATATATGTATGTATATGCTTATGTATGAATGTATGTATGTATGTATTTATGTATGTATGTATGTATGTATGTATGTATGTATGCATGTATGTATGTATGTATGTATATACCTTGTATAGACGTTTTTTAAGCATGTATATATATTAAAACTTTTAAAAAACGAAATTATCAAATATAAAGTACTTTTCTTGCTGTGACCGAGATCTCTCCTTTAGTCTCATTCTTTATGGCGTGTTTCTAATATTTTTTCACGCTTTGTTTCAAGCTAAAACATCTAGACAAAAAATATACTAGACATTATTTCTTCGCTTCAAGCCAACCAAAAAACAAAAACACTTTGCGACACTGTTCATTTCTTGTAACACCTTTTTATAGCTAACACTAAGAAACTATTTAGCTAGCCTTAAAATTTTAAACTTTAAATATTTTAAATTATAATGCTAGCTAAATAATTAAAAAAAATTTAATTTTAGATCAAAAACAATCAGATACATACTGCTCCCATAGCATTTTTTTCATGGCGTAACAAAGTATAAAGACTTTCAGAAAGTTCTAGTAATGTAACTGTTCTTTTGTGAGATCCAACTGTTACAAACCTTCCCTGATCATGAATGCAAAGGGAATATAAGGCTTCTTCAAAAACCTAAAAATTATTAAAATAATAAACTATAAACTAAAATTGAACTACATTGTCAATTTAATTTTTATGTTTTATAGGTTAAATAATACCTGTAGAGATGAGTTGGATTGGTTTGCTTAAAAAGATAATACCAAATATCTAAGGATCCATCCATTTTAGTCGCAAAAAATACAGCAGGTCGAACAGGACTCTAACATGCATCTGTTAAACTTGACATATCGTGACGTTAGAATTATCTTGTGCTATCTCCAATTTTATGAAAAAATTGAGATTTTTTTATTTTCGAATATTTTAGCATTGTGTTGTTCTACTTTAATTATATTGAAAAAAAATGAAACTTTTAACACGGTATTGCATGCAATATTGCATTGTTCTATCTCCTTAATGAGCAAACTTGAAAATATTATCTTGTTCTATCTCCAATCAACCAATCATATTACAATTACAAAGTTGTTCGGAATAATTTTATCAGTTTTGTTGTTTTCAAAATGGCAACTGCAAATATTGACCAAGAAATGGAACCTGCCCTAAATCAAAACGAAGGTAGTTTTTCAACTTGGAAAAGTAGAATTCGACTTTCGCTTGTGCCATTTTAGATTAAATTTAAAAGTTATTATTTATACATCCTGGATAATAAAAAATTAATATTTTAATCGTTAGAGCTGCTTGGCATTACACCTTCTCGTCGGTCGCCCCATGGTGGGGTTTCTAGGAAACGTAAAGCTGATAGGAGTAGTTGGAAACAAAGTGTAAGAAAAATCCAACGTCAGTCGGGTAAAGCTTATAAAAATACGAAAGGAGAACAAATGCCAAAAAGATCTATTGTTGCACTAAAAAGTTGCAGAAATTGTAAATTTAAATGTTCTACCAATATATCTGAGATTGAGCGTCAAATAATATTTGATAACATTTGGACCTTAGATGATGACGGAAAAAAACATTTCTATTCTAAAACTACTGAAAATCTGGAGAAAAAACGCTGTCGGACAGCTGCTGGTGACAATTCAAGAAGAAAAACATCTTATTATTATATTTTTTTTGTTTCTAATACACAATATAGAGTTTGTAAATCATATTATCTTTCAACATTGAATATTAGCAGCCATAGAGTGTTTTACTTTCATAAGTTTAATAAATCTTTAACTACTGGAACACCATTGCAATCAAAATCAGGGAAACATGTTAAAAAAAGGTTACTAGAAGAGTCTAAACAAGTTGTACGAGACCATATTAACCTTTTCCCAAGAATTGATGCTCATTATAGCAGGAAAAAGACACATAAAGAATACATGGAAGGATCACTAAATATAGGTAGAATGTATGATCTTTATAAAATATATTGTGATGAAAATGTCTCTCCTCCAGCAAAAGAACATATGTATCGTTATATCTTTAATCACGAATTCAATATAGAATTTCAAAAACCGAAGAAAGATTTATGTGACACATGCTATGAGTATCGCAACATTGTTAATGCAAGCAATGAACAAACAGATAGTTATAATAAGCACATAAAATCAAGGAATGATACCAAAAATGAACGTGAAAATGATCGCCAAAATGTTGATTCTAAAACTGCAATTGTTTGTATTGACCTTGAAAATGTTTTAAATTTGCCTAGAGCTAATGTGGGAAACTTTTATTACAAACGAAAACTTTCAAATTATAACTTAACTGGTCATTGCTCGCTTAACAGGAAGGGTTATTGCATCCTTTGGCACGAAGCCATGACTGGTCGTGGAGGAAATGATCTAGCCAGTGCTGTAACATGTTTGCTTTTGAAAATCATGGCTTACCTTGACATAAATAAGTTCATACTTTGGTTTGATTCATGTGTACCACAAAACCGCAATAGTTTCATGTCAGCAGCTTTGTGTGAATTTATAATACGATACCCACAAACAAAAGTAATTGAACAGAAGTTCTGCGAGCCAGGTCATTGCAGCATTCAAGAATGTGACAACATTCATAGTCAGATTAAAAAATCCCTCTCTGCTGCAGAAATATTTAGTCCACTTGGGCTAGAAAGAGCTATTAAAAATGTAAACCGCAATTAGGAGATGTAAAGAATTTTTCAGTTGTCGCTGGTTTGTCAAGTTATAAGTTAGTGCCTTATTCAAAGGTTAAAAATCTTGTTTATCGAAACGGACTGCCATACCATGTTTTTTTTAAAACCTCGTTTTCAGATAATTATTCACAAGCTCGTATAAATAAGTCTGTCAAGAAAGCAGCATCAACCATTGTTGCAAAACCATTAAATACCAATATACCAATGGCAGCTTGCTTTCGTGCTTCTTATCAGTCTATATCTGTTGCAAAAGCCAATGATATCATTTCCATGTATTCATACATGCCTGCTGTTGATATTGCATTTTATAAAACAATAATAAATTGAACATTTACAAAACATTAATAAAGTCAAAATATTTTTAGGGTTGTTATATGTTTAGTATAAATATAAATAACATATTTATATATATATATAATAATATAAATAATATACACATAAATAACATATTTAAATAAAATATTTATTTAGTATAAATATAAATATAAAACACATTGAAATAATATTATTTTGAAATCTTGATAGAAATTTTTGTTTAGCTTGTGTTTTTTTTGTTTGTTTTTTTGTACTTTTATATTCATTTTCCCCCACTTGTTTGGTTTGGATGGTTTTCCATAGTGACATAAAGGCCACTATGAAAGAGTTAAAGCAATGTTTCACAACGTGATGCCCTTCCTGACGTTAACTTGAGTAACAATTTTTTATTTGTAAATATTTGCAATAACTTTTAATAAAAAGTTAAACTCTATTAATGGATACGCAGGCATAAGAAAAATAAAATCAAGTTCATCTTGCATGGAGGTTGTGATTAGATTAGTTGAATTGTTGTGAATTATCAGATAGTTACATAATGTTATTTCTTTTATTATTACATCTTTTTTAAAATAACTCTTTTCTATATACCTTTCATAATTTATTTTATACGTTTATATTATATTAATACGTTTATATTATTATTACGCAGCCAAATTTTCCGTTTTAAATTAGACGTCTTAGTCTTGTCCAGGGCCGGCGCCTACAGGTAATTAAAGTAAATGTAAGTCGTAAGAACAGTGTCGTTAGAGGCTCTTCTAAAAGTTCTCCTAATTAGGGCCTCATTTTATTTTAAAAAACTTAATTTTTTAGGTAATACAAAAAGCGTCTTATATTTTGAAAAGGGTCCTGTTAAATTAGGGGCCCATGCCCCTAATTTAGGGGCCCATGCCCATAAATTAGGAGTGTATGGTACTGCGTAAGAATAATTAGCAGGTAGAACAAAATTTCATCAATTTCTAACATGTCGTTGTTGAAAAATGTACTTAATATGTTTAATATATATGATGTAACAACATAATATTTTTGAATTTTACTAAAAACCAAAGTTATTTTGTTCTATCTCCAAAAGAGGGTGCGAAAAAAAGGGCGTTAGCGTAACTTTAAAAAGTTTTTTATCTAAAAATTAATAATAAAACATTTTTAAATCTTAGGAAATACCTAAATCCTCAAAATATTTTTTCAATTTAGCTGCGAACAAATTCAAACTTTGACATCGATTTTCTCAGTTTGCAAAAACATGGAGATAGCACAAGATAATTCTAACGTCGCGATATGTTGTCTTTAATTCATGCATGAATATTATTAAAATGTTATTTTAAAATTATATACACTAGAACATATTTTTTTACAAAGTAATGAAAAAAAAAAAAATTTAAACCAAGTTTAGCTTGATCTATTCTTTATATATTCTCATTTTACACCTATTTCTTTGTAATTTTTTTTTTGCTGATTTATTACATTATTTTGTAACGTTATTTATTATACTATAGATATCTATACTAGTAAACAATCAACATGTTAACACTTTTAGTTTTTTAGAGATGGTCCAGAAGCACTAAATTTTGCATTTATCTTTGAAGAATATCTATAGTAGTATACAAAAGGAAGAACACTTTTTTCGTAATATTTTCTCATTAAATTAAATTTTTTAAATTAAATTTCTTCTAAGTGTCAAATTATACTACAATTTAAAAAAACTTGAAAAAACATCACATTTAGTAGTAATTAGCGAAAATTTAATTAAAAGAATGGAAATCATAGACTAAAAAAGTAACTGGACAAATTAAATTCCATCAATTTAATTTGACTTTTAAATTCCTCTTCTAATTATAAATCAATATGCAATAAAAACATTCAATAATTAAGTTTTCATAATGGGACATGACAAATATTTAACAGTTAAATATAAGAATGTTAAAGAGTTATTTGTGCAAGCAGGTAATAACAATAAGAGTCGAGAACATATTTTAATAAAAATGAATATTCCACGATTACTCGGTGGTTATGCAAAAAAAATTTTTAACAGTGAAATTATTTCCAAGTAATAAGTCAGGAAGTTGAAATCAACAACTTTTAGCAAAATAATATTGTAATATAATCATCAAAGACAGATTTACCCTCAAGTGCAAAGAAATTCATAATGAATTCACACAACCACAACAAATTTCCTGTTTTATGCAACAGTAACAAATTGCTTAAGGCAAAACAACCATTTTAACCATCAACCTATTAAGTAAACTTTTGTTTTGACAAAAAATTACGCAACTGAAACTCTCTAGTGAAAATTTAAATTTAACAGCAATGGTCAAAAATTCTATAAATCGATGAATAAAATTATGCTGCATTGTTATTTCTCAAAGTTCATATTAACTTTCTGTTTAAATCCAGGGGCTAAATTTTTCATTTGCTTTTGGATTACCTGAAAGCATAGTGGACTTATCCAAACAAACGTTAGACTTTCTAAAATGTCAATTTTGTTCAAATACTATTTCCGTGACTCAAGCAAATTGTGGCTCTAATAGGGAATGGTGAATTTCTTTAGTTTGCTTTTTTTTAATCTAAGAATTTGGAGTTATTGTTTCTTTCAATAGAAATATAAAAGCCAAATATACAATTTGTACCTTTAAAGCGAGTACGTAATAAGTCAGCAAATAATTAGTACTTTTTTTTTATTTTTATGATTATTTATAAATTAAAATATATATATTTTTATAATAGATATATATATTTTTTATAATTATTTATACATTTTTATGATATATATATATATATATAATTTTTTATTAATATTTATATATTAGAAAATAATTATATATATACATACATACATACATATAATTTAAAAATAAATAGTAACACTTGGTTAAAGAAAAATGACTCCGAGTTTAACGCCTATGGCGTTCATCATATATTACAAATAATCTTAACGATTAGAAATTTTAATTACAAAAATTACTATACAGTGTCCGCTTTGATGAGTGAAAGTTGTTTATTTTCATGGCGACATTTTAATACCAGCTCATTTCTTTTGTTTAATAATTTCATTTTTAATGTTATTATGTGATACTTATCAGTTAGGTAAAGTTTGCATGACTTTACTTCGGGTGTAATAATAGGGTTTGTATATCCCTTTTTTTAAAATTCCACATAAACTTGGAGAGCTCTGTTGAATTTGTTTTGCTTTCATATTGGAATGAGTTTTTGTGTTTGTACCAATGGTCTTTAAATGTATTCTCTGTTAGTCCAATATAATTGAATCCGCTATCTTGTGGTGAAGTTTTTATGTTACAGCTGTATACTATATTTTTTTGGAGGTATTTTCCTTCCAAATGACATTGCGAAGTTTGCCGGCAGTTAAATTGTTGGTTGGTTGAGGTGTTAGTAAGAAATAAAATTTTTTTATTGTGAGCAGTAATAATAATTTTGATGTAAGAAAAACAGCTGTAGGTTAATTTTAAGTTGTTTTTGTTGAAGAGCTTATAAAACTTATGAGATTTCCGAAAGCGTTTTTAAATTAAATTTAAGAAAATTCTTGCAACATTTGTTCTTACGTTAAATGCAAATGGAGGGTTAAACCATAAAATGTTACATGATCTTGTTTTCACCTGGTTCCTGTATGGTCAAAAGGAACAATCCGATAAGTTAAATGTAATCTCAAAAATTTACAATCTTTATGTTTGGTTTTACTGATTCTTCTAGATTAAATTTATATTTAAAAAGGTTGACAAGGTTTATCTTTATTTTTTCTGAATCTGGTTCACCGACTTTATCAAACAGAACAAACCATCATTTCTATACAATATTATCGAATTGTTCTTTTAGACCATACAGAAAACCAAGTGACCACCCACTGTACATTAACATTAATTCTAACTACCTTCCTGATATTATCAAATCTATACCAATGTTATCCAAATGAATTAGCAATTTCTCATTCAACAAAATCGTTTTTGACAAAGCTGCACTTTTGGTTATCAAGAAACAATCTGTTATAAACCAAATCATACTGCAACAAAATCAAAATCTAGACCACATAACATTTTATGATTTAACCCTCCTTTTGCGCTTAACATAAGAACAAATGTTACAAAAATTTTCTTAAATTTAATTTAAAAAGATTTTCCAAAATCTCATTAATTTTATAAGCTCCTTAACAAAAACATCTTAAAAGTAAGCTATAGCTATTTTCCTTACATCAAAAATATTATTACAGCTCACAATAAAAATTTAATCTGGTACTTATACCTCAGCCAACCACCAATGCAACTGCCAATTTCGCAATTTTATTTGGAAGGTAAATGCCTCCAAAAAAATATAGTAAACTGCTGTAATATAAAAACAAAATTTCGCCATAAAAACAAATTTTTTATTACAACTTAAACATCATCAAATCGGACACTGCATAGTATTTTTTGTAATTAAAATTTTTTGATGTTTAGATTATTTGTAATGTCTAATGATCGCCATAGGCGTAAAACTCTGAGTCATGTTTTTTTAACTAAATGTTTTTATTTATTTTTAAAGAATATATATCAAAATTTAAAAAAATACAGTTTCTATAGACAAAGCTCAAATCTTCTTCTGTAGATAGCATCTGTAAATTTTTTGACTCTATTTGAAAAATACTTTGTTATGCAACTCAAGTGTGGCATGTACCAAGTAATCATTAATAAA